TCTATGTATTTTATTTTATATAAATAAGTAGTTTTTTAGTTCATATAAAAGGACAGACAGATAGGAATTTGGCAAGATAGTTTTAGTAGTTTTAGAGGCAACTGGCTTACTGTGTCACCTTTTAGTTTTAGTATTTCGTTTCTTTTCTCTTTTTTATTTTTCTTCTTTATTTTCTTTTACTTTTTTTCTTTTTCTTTATCTTATTATTATTTTACTCGTGAATAAACATAATATTTACAAATATACATTACTGGTAATCTGTTGAATCGTAACTTATTGTGATAATATAAATACTTTGATAAATGGTCTGAGTTAAAACTTGTAAACTGTTGAAAGATTACTGCTTAATTAAAAAGAATCAACCGCTTGAACACCCTGTTTAACAGTTATAGTTTGCAAGAATTACACATTAACAATATAATAATAATAAATTACTTAATTAATTTTTTAATAATAATGACTATTTTTAGTTTATATAATTAAATATTCATTTTATTATAATCTGTTTTATATTATAAATAAATTTATTAATAAATTTTTAAAATATAAATTTATTAATTATTTTTTAAAAGAATTAATACATTTAATTAATTAAATATTATATGATAAGCAAAATTTATTATATTATAAGTTTATTATATTAAAAATTAATTATATTATTTTTTAAAAAACTTCAATTTGTATTATTAAAAATATATAATTTTAAAAAAATTTACTTTAAATAAATTATTTAAAAAATTAATTTTATTATAAAATATTATTTATTTAATAAATATTAATTTACAATTTATAAAATTTTAAATTTGTATAGTAATAAATCTGATAAATATTATTATTTAAATATTAAAAGTAATTTACTTTAATTAAAATAATCAAATTATTTATTTAAAATAAATATAATTTATAAATTAATATTATAAGAAAATATATTAATATTCAATAAATATTTAATATTTTATTTATATATATTATCTTTATAATATATAATAAAAAATAAATTTTTATTTTTATAAAATTATTATTTATTATATTAATTAATTAATTAATTATTATTATTATTATAAAACTTTATAATAGAAAAAAAAATCTTAAAAAATAATTTTTTAAATTAATATTATATTTTGTATATAAAATAAAATTTATTTTCTTTTTTTTATAATTTTCTTTTTTATTATTAAAATTTTATTTAATAATATATTTATATTAATAATTTTATAAAAAAAATTAAATTTAAATATTATTAATTATATATAAAAAAAATGATTTTTAATTTATAAAGAAAATACTTTTATAAGTTTTTTTTTTTTTAATTTTATTTATAAAATTTCATAAATTTTATTATAAATTTTTTTTTAATAATACATTTGAAATTTGATTTAATTAATAAATAAAATTTTAAATAAATTTTTTTGTAAAATAATTAAATAAATAAGATTATATAAATTGTATAAAAATTAATTTATTTATAAATTTTATCTTAAATAATATTTTATAAATAAATAAATATTAATTAAATATAAAGTTATAAATTTATATAAGTAATATAAGTTATATTTATAATATTTTTTATTTAAAAGTATTATTAATAAGTAATATTATTATTTAATTTATAATATTAATAATTTTAATTTATTAATAAAATAATATTTTTTAAATGAATAATATTAATAAAATAAATATGATTACTAATTTATAGTATATAATTATTTACTTTATAAGCATTTTTTATTATTAAAATGTATTAAATTATAAATTTTATATATATTAAATAAGTAATATGAATTAACATAATCTTTTAATATAAATTATAAAATTCTAGAAATTAATATATAAATTTAATATACGTTTTAATAAATTTATAATAAATATAATTCTTTTTTTTACATAGTTTATTATTTAAATTTTTTATATAATAAATACTACTTTTATAATTATTGTATTAATTATAAATATTAATATACTAATTATTAATTCTATATTATAATTAATATATTAAATTTTTCTCATTAATAATTATTATATTATATAAAAAATTGTTAGAAACATTAAATTCTAGAAATATTATAATAAATTAAAATTTTATTATACTCTATTTTTTAAAATAAATCTTATTTTTAGTTAAAAATTTTCAATTCTAGTTTTTTAAAATATCAGTTTTATGTAATATTATTATATAATTAGAATTAAAATAGTATAGTATAATTTTGTAAAAATATCATTAAGAATAAAAATATATAAATTATTTTTAAAAATATCTTAATATATTTTATACTTATACTATAATAATTATTATTATTATATATACTGTATATTTTTTATTTCTATATCAGTTATAAATTCGATAAATTTAATATTTAAATTAAAAGAATTTATTATATATAAATTATTACTAATTTAGTTGAATCTTTTATGATTTGCAGCAACATTATCTACTGCAGGTGGTAAATCGCTCAAATATTCGTATTAAAGGGAAATGCGACTTGATAATTAACACGAAGTTGCAGGAAAGAAAGTAAGGTAATTAATTCTGATTTGATGAATTGAATGGATTACGTTCGTTAAGCTTTTAAGATTTTAAAGTATAAATTTTAGAATTTTTGATGACGTCATATGTGCTTCATAAATCAATTTTTTGATTTAATCCTACGCGTATAAAAATTTATTAATTTTTAAGTTAGATTTTGTCTTCGCGTTTTAAAATTTTACTCGTTACTGTCATCCAAGATGCCACGCGAATTAATAACGATACAAGCCGGACAATGCGGAAACCAGAGTAGGTTCAATTTATCCACTTGACATTATACTTCTAAGTATAACCACATAATTTCAAAATCTAGTTGGTATGGAGTTTTGGTCTCAACTCTGTGCCGAACATGGAATTAGTAAAGAAGGTATACTAGAAGATTTTGCAACCGAAGGTGGTGATCGAAAAGATGTGTTTTTTTATCAGGTAATTAAAAACTTGTAACCATTATCTCAAAAACTCGAATATTTATATTTATTTATTTTTGCAATTTTAGGCCGATGACGAGCATTACATTCCAAGAGCTTTACTATTAGATTTAGAACCAAGGGTAGTTATCCAACTTCCTTTAGGGTTTTTATTTGGAGACCGTTACTTTATTTAATTTGATATTTCAATTAGGTTATCAACAACATCTTGACCTCACCATATGCAAATCTTTACAACCCCGAGAATATTTATTTGTCCAAAGATGGCGGTGGAGCTGGCAATATTTGGGCTTATGGATTTTCTCAGGCTAAGAACGTTTGCGAAGATATATTTGAAATGATTGACCGTGAAGCTGATGGAAGCGATTCTCTCGAGGTATCAAATATTATTCATAGGGATCTAATATTAATAACATTTAATAATTCCTTTAAATTTCAGGGATTTATGCTTCTTCATTCGATTGCAGGAGGGACAGGTTCTGGAATGGGATCTTTCCTCTTGGAAATGCTTAATGATAGATATCCTAAGAAACTAATAACAACATATTCGGTATTTCCCAATAATGAGGAAGTTTCAGATGTTGTTGTTCAACCCTATAATAGCATTTTAACTTTGAGAAGATTAACGGATTATGCTGACTGTGTGGTGATTATTCTGTTTACAACATCTATTTAGTTCGTCTTTGTTTTAGAATAATTCAAATAATGATGTTATTCCATTTTTCTTTAGACTGTACTGGATAATGCAGCATTGAATCGTATAGCATGTGACAGACTGCATATTCAAAACCCTACATTCACCCAAACAAATCAATTGGTTTTGCTTTCATTGCTCTATCTATTCAATATTATATTTAAAATATGAACCTAAATGATAATTTCATTTATTTAGGTGTCAACTGTGATGTCTGCAAGCACTACTACACTCCGTTATCCTGGATATATGAATAATGATCTTGTTGGAATGATTGCTTCACTTATTCCCACACCGAAATGTCATTACCTAATGACAGCATATACTCCTTTTACAAGTGATCAAGTCGAAAAGGTCGAGTACAATCCACTGTAGAAAATTTATTCTGTTTATATACAAAATTGAATGGCGTTTCTTTTTTTTTAAAAAAAAAAATAAATCATTTAGGCAAAATCTGTACGTAAAACTACAGTTCTCGATGTGATGAGAAGATTACTACAACCAAAGAATAAAATGGTATCAACAAATCCATCAAAAAAAAGTTGTTACATTTCAGTCTTGAATATAATTCAGGGAGAAGCTGACCCTACGGACGTGAGTTTTTTTGCATACTTATAAGACTAATAATAGGTATTAATCATGGAATTTAATATAATGTATGACTTTTGTGATAGGTCCATAAATCATTGTTAAGAATACGGGAACGTCGCTTAGCACAATTTATTCCTTGGGGACCAGCTAGTATTCAAGTAGCGTTGACCAAAAAATCTCCATACATTCAAACATCCCATCGCGTAAGCGGTTTAATGTTAGCAAATCATACAAGCATGGCTTCGGTGAGTTACTTATTTATATTTCAAATTCCTTGACAAAATATTAACATATTTTTATATTATTCCAGCTTTTGAAGCGTACTTGTGATCAATTTGATCGTATCAGAAAACGAAAAGCTTTCTTGGAACAATATAAGAAAGACGATCAATTTTCTGATAATCTTGAAGAATTCGACGTTTCTAGGTATTTTTCATCGATATTTAATGATAATATAAAAATTCTTATTAATTATGATTTAATGGCATTATAGAGGGGTAGTACAAGATCTTATTAATGAATATGAGGCATGCGAAAGTGTTGATTACATCCAATATGTAGGGTTTTATTCAGTTTGATTTTGATTTGATTTTGACTTTTATTGTTTTGTCATGAACTATGAACTTAATTTCTTATTAATTACAGGGAACTACCAAAGATTAAATATTGTAAAGAGTGTTTATTAAAATAATTTAATGAACAATTTGTATATTTTTTTTTTGCATTAAAATGATTTCAAAATTACGTAATTTGTTATCAAAATTCAAAGCTTTTGTACATTATTTTGGGGTAATTCGATTACTAATTTACCGAATTGTTTGCCCTTACTAAAAGAATATATAATTAAGGATTGGTAAAACATATTATTTAAAATATTAACCTTTTGAAAATTTTATTTTTAAAAAAAAAAATTAGCTTACTTCATGATTTCAAAAATTTCTGGAGTATGTTCGAATCCTTGCCAAACGCCGCTAATCATAGGCCTAATTTTTTTTTCCTCAACAAAATTTAACATTTTCTCAAATTCTTCCCTGCTGCCCATAGTGGAACCTTTAAGTTCAATATTTTTGAGCACTGCGCTCATTGGGAATTTTATAGCTGGAACCGATGTCATGCCATAACAACTTATAATACCTATATAAATCATATAATAAGTTATTTTTATTACGACAGAATCAATAAAAGGAAAGATAGAATAAGATTCTGAAATATATAAGGTCTGAAATTGCATATTCGTTTAAAGTAAATATGGGCAATTTTGAAAGTCATAATTAGGTCATGATAGAATGCTTGTAACATGGATGGATATTTTAATGTACCTCCTGGACGTAAAAGTTTCACAGTTTGAGAGGCAATTTCACCTCCTGCACCGTCAATCACGGAATCCAAGAATGGACGATCATTAGGCAAAAGAGTTTTTAGCAACGTTGGCCATTCATCTGAAATGAAAGTTAAATTTATATTAAGTGGAATCGATATTATAAAAAATAGCATCAGGATAGAAGAGAAAATACCTTCTCTGTAGTTGACACCTCCTTTCGCGCCTAATTGCTCGATAGCTTTTTTAATCTTGGACTCATCTGAAGATGTGACATACGCATTTGCACCTATCCTTGAGACAAAGTTCAACACCGTCAAAGCAACGCCACCCCCAATTCCCGTGATCAGTACGTTTTCTCCTGGTTGAACATTGGCTTTTACAAAGGTTGCTCTACATGAAAAATAAATAAATAAATAAAAAATAATAAAACGGAATTTGAATTTAATTAAAAATTGCCTGAATGCGGTTAAACCAGCCAATGGAAGAGCGGCAGCTTCCGCCGAGGATAGATGTTTAGGAACAGGAAATATTTCGGCACGAGGAACAACGGTGCAATCAGCAAAGGTTCCTTTGAAAGCAATATTTATATGATTGGATTAAATTCGGAAAAAAAATCGACTAGTCAGAATAAATAACTCGAATTGAAATTTTTCTACCAGGTAAAGGTAATAATCCAAGTATCGCATATTTACTTTCAGGACCTTTTGGATCCTTTTCCCAACCAAATCCTGGATTAATAACAACTTTTTGACCAACAAGGTGAGAAAATTCACTACGTGACGTTGCTTGTACTATTCCAACACCATCACTCCCAAGTATAGAATTAAATTTTATTCCTGGATATAATCCTTTTCTTATCCAAACCTCACTTATCGAATTTAAAAAGATAAAAAAGAATGATACATTTGATTAAAATAACCCGAATTCCAAATTTTTTTTTATATCATGATAATTTAATTCTCACCGATGATTAAAAGATACCGCTTGTAATTTTATTAAAACTTCATCATTATTAGGATTCAAAGTGGGAACGGGAACTTCCCTAAGAATCACATCATGATACATAGACTCATCATTTTTAACACCTTTTTGTAAAACGAGAGCTTTCATATTTTTCAAAATTTTTTTTTTTTTTGTTTGTTTTAAAGAGAATCACGTATCAAATTCGAAATGAGGTTTTTTTGGTTCGGAGAATTTTTTAAGTTTTTTTTTGTCGATCATACTCAAATTAGGTACTACTTCATTTAGTAAAAACAAATTTACATAAAAGATTTTCCGAAACGTTTTTTTTTTTTTTCTTTTTTTTTAAAGCGAGTCTCGAATTTTTTTTTATTATGTCACTGATGCAATGTATATGGGCGCTTCGCAATATAGGGAACAACGAAAAAAAAAAAAAAATTTTTTTGAATTAATGCTAAATCTGGACTCAACAAAAATTTATACAAGGTGAATTTTTTGTTTTAATTTTATTTTTTAATCCCATTTCATCTGCAATATATTCGGGTGTTTCGTATTAAATGTGGCGCATTAGTCTGAAAATTTTTTCTCAACCTTTAATTATATTTTATTTTATTTTTTTTTGCGGCATACATTTGTGCATATTTCCTTCGGTAATTACCCCAAAAAGTAAATTCCTTTATTTGCTTGACCAAAAACGATTACCTCCCGAACTTTTTTTTTTCAAACGGGTATCGCCGTTCTTTTGTGTATCAAGAAAGGTCTTATAATCCGACAGTTTTCTTTTTCTCGTTCTACTTTGGTTAATATGTTATAGTTTAATCATGCATAAACCATGCAATTGGCCGCTTTATTATAGATTTGGCAGAATAATGCTTGTGCAGGAGGTTGAAAAAAAAAAAAATTTCTTAATTTTCTATTTATTATTATATTACAAAAGAGCCCATAATAAAAGGTAAAATTAAAAAAAAAATCAAAAGGAAAGCAATGAAATCAAAAAATCTATATGTAATCTATAATTAGGGAGGAGTTCAATGCCTTACTTTCCTTTTGACGTCTTGTTAACTACATATATATGAAGGAGTGGGAGGGTAACACTAAATAAATGGTGGCGTTAACATAATTCTATAAATTATTAATTTAAATTAAAATTTATATATTTAAGAAAATTTCTTATCAGTTATTTATCAGTTACATAATAATTTTAAACTTAAAAATAATTTTCTAGATAACAAATTTTGTATTCTAGTTGTTAAAATATTATACAATGAAAACGAATCGAATGAGGGGGAAAAAAACAAAAAGGAAAAAAGAAAAGTTTTTTTTTAACAAAAAAAAAACCAATGTTCCCAATTAAATATAAAATATTTGAAATTTTTCTTCTTTTTTCTTTTTTTTTTTAAAAAAAAAAAAAATCGAATGCTAGTCATAAAACAAATCTAAAAGTAAAGATTGTGTATCGCGAAATTTTAATTTCGTTGTACGCCACCACCTCGAACATAACTTTCATCATGACGCGTTAAATGCATACTGGTACTTTCATGATTATAGTCGTGGGACGATTGACTTAACGGTTGTCCGTACCCATGACTACTACTAACTTGAGAACTCCCTTGAGCATATCCACTCTGTCCGTGGGTATGTCCGTTATTTGTTAACTGTGTATTTTGCTGAGAATACCAATCGACAGGCCTTGCAGCCGATGATTCGAATTCGTATTTCACCTGAACTGGATTGTGATCAGATTGACGATGTATTTGATGCTGCGAAGGTGCCTGTTGTTGCTGGCGGTGATGAGGTTCTTGAAAATTTTGTATTGAAGGCTGATGATGATAATAAGGAGGGTGGTAAGATTGTTCTGTTGTAACTTGTCTGACAGATGGTCCTGCTGACACATCGGTCGGGACAGAAGCGTAAGGCGGACGAGGTTGAGCTCTATAAGATGGTACCTGTTGACCTGCAACGGTAAGTGGCGGTAATAAAGTCGGTGGATGTTGGTGTTGTTGTTGTTGATGTTGTTCTGAATGATCATGCATATATTGCATGTGTTGCAAATGTTGCTGTTCGTTTTTTTTTTTATTTAAATTTTTTTAAAAAAAAAGCAGGGAATATCAGGTTCGTTAGCTACCCACCAAATTTTACGAAAAAAAACATGCGACATTATTGTGTAATTTACCTGTTGTTCATGCAATGTCATAGGATCCACTATTATTTTATGGTCAACAGGCATACTAGGCGACTACATTGAAAGGAAATTGTATAGCACGTGTTAAATCAGGATGCTTTATATTTGCGATCATCGATGCAAGATTAATTTTGTCGATCACACTCACAGACAAATTTTTAAGGGAAAAAAAACATAGGGAATCTTACAGGATTGAATTGATGTCCACTCTGAGGCATTCCCAATCCATAAGGATATTGACTTTGATCTTGATAATCCATCTATAAAAAATATCAATCCAAGAGTTATGAACTGATCCAAGGTAATGTTTCACCAGGTTCACAAACACAAACCTTGTCGTTTTTGACAGAAACCTTCTCTTCTCTTGGTACAATGTCTATTAAAAAGTCAAACATATCAACTTTTTTTATTGCGTTTGCGATATCAGATCTTTGTAAAGTTCTTCGCTTGCATTCTTCAGCATGATGCCTATTAATTATATCAATTAGTTAAAGATGAAGTTACTTTTCAATGTAAAAATATTTGAGACTCAAAATTACCACGCTCGCATTGTTAATTCTGTTATAAATATATCGCAACCTTTTGCAAAAAGAATGGGTGCCTAGAACACATGAGGGAAAAAAAAAAAAAAATTAACAAATTAGGTATTGCAAGTTAAAAATTCATTGCAAAGTTATTAATTACCTCGGCGCTTATCATCTTTTTTCATCGTAAAGTGTCAATAAATTATCCGGGAGATGAAATCATAGAAATTAAAAAAATGGGTTAGAATATTCATTGCAAAAGGAAGAGAAAGGAAAAGCATCACGCGTACAAGGGTTTTAGTTATGATCCGGTGTAACCATTATATCGGATCTTCCTCAAATATTTTGATCAATTCAATTTCTCCTTGAAAAAATAAACAAAGAAGTTCTTCTACCTTCACTTCTTCATCAGTCTTCATGACTTTCTTTATCCTAGCTAATGGAAGTTGGTGAACCTTGAAATCGTGAACGCCATGTCTGATTTCATTTATTTGCTGTTGCCAGAAGTTATCAAGAACGGTATAATGTTGAGGTTGAAATTGATGTTGAGAGTGCATTGGAGTGGGAGCAGCAGCAAGAGCAACTTGAGTTTGCGGATCTATTAAGAGATGTGGAACACCTGGTCCACTTACAAGTTGTTGTTGTGCTACTCTTTGTTGCTGATTTAAGTGGTGGTGTATGTGCGCGTTAGGATCTGCCATAATTATTTTTCCTTAACTTTTTGGAAAAAAAAAAAAAAAAATCTTACAGGTACGTTACTTAAGGGGTAGAAAATTAACAAGGTCCAAGGTTTTTATATGCGTATTTAAAATTTTTACCTAAAAAAAAAAAATTTTTTTCGGTCTATCGCGCACTGACTAATGTACTACACCAGAAATTTATGATGCGGTTTAACTTTAAATGGATTAAATGTGATTTGATAAGGCGTGGTGGCTAATTAGATTTAAATTTAGTTTATATCTCAAACCACCCCCAAAAAAATTTCATTCAACAGGGGTTTCACACAAAAAAGTAGGATGTCAAGATAAATGGCCGAAGGACCTTTTTTAACGATGACAACCAATCCGATGCCTTACTTTATCTTATTTTATCCAACTCCAATTGGGGAGATTGTCGCATTATAACCCAAAAATCGACTGTTGTGCCTTTTGTGTTTTGTTTGTTATGTCGGTAATCTGTTGTAATTGTATTAATCTTATATTTTTCCGATTTTTTTTAGAAAAAAATTGTAATTCATAAGACAGAAATATACCGTATAATAAGAAAACTCTCACGGTTCGTTCCAGTTTATCAGCAAGGTTTGTTTTTTTTTTTGTTTTTTGTTTTTTTTTTATGATTTTTTTTTTGTTATTTTATTTTTTTTTTTTAAAAAAAAAAAAAAATAAAAATAAATAAATAAAACTACTCGAGGAGTTTTTATAATAAAAAAAACAGGTTCCAAGATGCAGAAAAGGTGAAAGACAATATATATTGTTAAACGTTTTATATTAGATGATAAAATAATTGGCCAAACGTTTTATCTAATATGGTACCGCAGATTATTAGGGAACGTAAGTTTGGAAATTAATCATGTGCGCTATTGTATTGGTTCATCATGGATTTTTTTTATAGTTTTTTGCTTTTTTAATTCCTATCCCCCTTCATAAATATCGATCATTCTGTAATATTCATAAATTATTGTGTAATATTTATTTTTAATCGAAACATAATTGCAGATTTTATATTTATGTATGATCTGAAAGAATGAAAGAACCCTATTCTGGGATTTTCAGGCAAAAAAAAATTTTTTTTTTTTTTTCACGGATTTCTATTCGTTCACTAATCCTTCGCGTTTAATCCGACTAGAATCCGAAACTTTAAAAAAAAAAAAAAAAAAAAAAAGTTGAGTCTCAGTTCCAAGCAAAAATAAATCGGGATTGGCCGATAATTGTTGGACTGATTTGGCTATACGGCTAATCGATGGTGATGTGATCTTTACTGTAAACAAAGAAATCCTTTTTTTTATTTTCTTTCACTAATAATAATAATTATTATTATTGTCATTATTGTTATTTATTATTATTATTATTATTATTATTATATCATTATTATTATTATTACTTTTGTTGGTAAAATGCATCGAGAAGATCAAACACTTTTAATGTATTATATGCAAATGGAAAAAATTTTCCAACCCCTCATTCACTTTTAACAAATTACATAAGGTATGCAGAAGAGAAATTCATGATTATTTTGAGGTGAAAGATTTGCAACAGAAAGATGTTCGCAAAATATGTTATGTGGAGTTACATCTATATTAGATAATTCTACGTATTAGCATGCAACCACCTGATGACCCTTACCCAATCAACATCCACCCATCGATGTTTATTTATTTGGTAATAGATAAATTGATCATTAGTCATCATTGAGACATAAATCTGCACTTTTATTTTGATTACAGCTACAAATTTTTTTTGTACACGTCTTAGTATTGCAATTAATATCTCTTTCCTAGATCGAAAAAGTTTTTGATTACCATTTCTAAAAAGAGATTATCATTCATGTTGGTAATTAAAATACGGTATAACGCGAATTCATGTTAGAGTGAAACTCAACACAAAAAATTCAAGCAATTAAAAATTCCAGAAAGAGCGGAATATTAAAAAAGGAATTGTTGGTTCACACGGTCATTTTGTAAGGATCATCCACACCTCGTAATTCAATCAAATTCATTAAAAAAAAAAATCATCACTTTTTAAAAACATTATCATATGAATAAATTTCGGAAAACCGTTCGACTTCATTATATTCATAATATTTAAAATAAATTAACGCGAATCATGATCAATCATTGATTTCATTCGTTCCAGGGTAAATTAAATCAATAAGGTTAGTTTAGATACATCCGTATCAGAATAATAGAATGGATCTACAAAAAAACATTAATAGAATGAATCTAAATACTCCGATCACCAAGATTCTATAACACGATTTTCAATCTTAACCAGGGTTCAACCTATTAAATAAGTGAGAGAATAATCATAACATTTCATAATCAATAAAACTTCAAACTTTTTTATTTCCGATCCTTCAATGAAATCAATAATAATGTATTTAATTTATATGGATAAGGTTAGAATCATATTATTTTTTGATTGGAGGTTGTGGAACTTTACATCATTTGAAATTTTATTTTTTTATTAAAAATTTCTTGTTTATTGACTCTTGGAAGCAAGTTTTTCCACGCGTTGCTTTTGATGTATGATGATGTATAACAATTTACGCCATGTGTATCATGCAACCAAATATGCATGCATATACATGTATATATATTTCACATTGTAGAATTCATAACAAAAAGTTAGCTTAGAAATCTTATTTGTCATTTTTAATAATTTTGTATATTCTGGGAATTCAAATTTTAATTGGGTAAACAAGTTACATGAAAATGAGTATTAGTTTACTATAAAAAAAAGGATAAATTTTACTTGCCACTTAATTATGTTATCGTATAACTAAAAATAAAAAAAAAAAAAACATCTCACCCTCAAACGCCGAGTCTTTGTTATTACTTGAACGACATTAGAAGGCAACTGTGGCGTGACTTTGATTGGTTTCGAGGATTAATTGTTTTCTTTTTCTTGGTTTTTTCCTTATTAAGGATTCTGTTAAATCTTTATCAATAAATAATAAATATATGTATACATTTCTTTCTTTCTTTTTATCATCGCGATTAATTCAAGAGAAATAAACGACCGGGTAAAGAAATTTTGTGAAACATACAAGTCTGCCGTTACACATTTTTTAATAAATACTTCAAAAATTATTTTTATATTTACAACAATCCGAACCTATTATCATGATACTTGTCATTAATGCTTCTTCGAATAATGCTTATTTTTAGAAATTACTTTAATTTATTTATCTTATTATTATCATCATGATTAAATTGTAAGATTTATAATTAAACTTAAAAAGTATTTTATTTTTTTTTAAAAAATTAGAAATTTTAATAATAATTTATATTTATTATGATTTTTATAATAATAGTAATTAAATATTTGATTTGTGAAGAAATTTATTTTAATGGAATTTATTATAAATTATTAAAAATTAAAAATTATTTTATAATGTAATAATAATAGTAAAATAATAAGATAAATCTATAATATGATTTTTTAAAAAAAAAAAAAATTATAAAATATTAAATAATAAAATATTAGTTAACAAGATATATTTTCTTTTTAATATACATATATTTTTATTTACAAAAATAAATTTGATTTAATTTAAAAAAGTTTAATATAATTTTTATTCTTATTTATATATTAATCTATTCAATAAGAAGTAATGTTATTAATTATAATTAATTTTTATTATTTAAATATTTTAATATTAAATTATAATATTAACTTAAATTTATGACTAATTTAATATTAATCAAATTTTTTTTAATTTTAAGTAAATATTATATATAAATAATCAATAATATATATAAAACAATAATATTTAATTTTATATATTATTTTTATAAGTTTTTTTAAATCAATAAAATACATTTAAAATAAAAAAATTTTAATTTAAAATTATAATTATTATATATTATTTAATATTGAAAATTTTTTAGTAAATACAAGATATATAAATATCATATGATATATACAATCATTTCCCTTTATAGTCACATTTCTTGAAATTAAAAATAAAAAGTAGAATTATAATAAAAGTAACTATATAAGCATATTTTTAAATATTGTTACAAAGCGTTGATTCTAAAAAAAAATGACTAAAAAATACTATAATTATAAAGGAGTTTTTTTATATAATATTAATAAGTATTAGTTCTTATAAAATGTGTGCTTATAATGAGAAATTTATATAATATAATTATATAGAAATTGACTATAGAAGAGGATAACTATATAAATTTATTATATAGAATTATATTTAGTTTAAATTAATTAAGTATTAATATTATTATTTATCAAACTACATCATATTTTATTATTTTTTATTTATATTAATTAATTTAATTAATCTAAAAAGTTAAAAAATTTTATACTAAAAATATTATTTACTATCCTTTATATTTTATATTGTGTTTAAATACACTGTATATAATTAGAAATTGTATTTAATTTATATAATTATAGATAATTATTACAGTCAATTCTTGTTATAATGAACTCTATGTTCTAAATCTCAACTTTACTATAAAGCTATAGTGAAGATTTTAAGAGATTTGATTAGCCAATTTGCTATAACAAGAGTATTTTTATTATATTTGTTCAAAAAATTCATTATATTAAGAGTTCACTATAACAAAAGTTGACTGTATTATATAATATTTTAAATTAATATAATTTATAATTAAAAAAGTGTGATTATAATAAAAAATATCTATATAAAAGATATTTTATATAATATTACTAAATGTTAAATTTGAAAGTATATAACTATAAAAAATAGTATAATTATAAAGGAAATTTTATATAATATTAATAGGTATTAGTTCTTATAAAATGTATACTTAAAATAAAAATTTATATAATATAATTTTAGAAAATAACTATAAAGAAAGACAATTATATTTACTTTTAAAAATTAAACTGATATAATCTAACTATAATTTATAAGTATTATATAATATCTTAGATTATATAGTATAATAATATAATTTCTATAAATTATATGAGTATACTAATATTTTTTGACTAAA